AGGCCATAGAAAGAAAATATCTTCTGGGGACTCCCAAACATATAGGCTGTACTTTGCAGGAGTCTGGAAGTCCTACAATAGTAAACAAGCCCAAGATGGAGAAAAAGCATCATTTATTAGATTGCTGTGGCCTCGAGAAACACAGACTTCATAAATATTTTAATTTTGACATTTATGCGTATATGGCTTTGTGCAGGGCAAAAACTGTTTTATTCTTTGATTACCATAGATCTCTGCTGCTCATGCAGAATTATCTGGAAGACTACTACTAACCTTTTTCTCATTTAAAATTTTTTCTCTAAAATAGCATGGGAAAGGCCTGGGGTGGGGTGAGTGTTGGGTGGAGGGGGGCAAAAAGGGAGAAAATGGGAGACATCTGTAATACTGTCAACAATAAAAAAGTACTTCCCTAAGTATTCTAACGTATTATTATAGTCTAGTTAATATTTTATTGCTTATATGTACTTTTTTTTTTAATTCTGTAGAGATCTTGAGTTTCTAACAAAATATATAACAGAAAACCAACAAATAATTCCACAGGAATATTGAGATATTTAATTTCTGTAGTTTTCATTGGTGTTTACCAACACTCATGATTGTTCCTTCGAAATTAATTGAAACTTCACATCATTTTGCAGATGTCCCTTTTCTTTCCCATAGCTATTGACTCATTGCTTTGTTCTGATCAAGAAAAAATATGGAGCATCCATGGAAAATTTATAGTGGTTTCTGTAGGGGTAAAAGTTGTGACCTGGGAGATAACAGGTGAAGTTGTCTGCTGGGACCAGGTGCTGTATCAGAGATAAAAGGGTCTTTTTACTCTCTGTCTCATCCCTGCTGCACATAAAATTGGAACTGATGGAGGCTGATGAATTGCAGCAGTAGGAAAAATGAAGGATGCGAGTCATTAAGATTGCTCAAACACATACAATCATCCACTCGGAACTTAGGCCATGCAAAGATAGCCTCGTGATCAGTGCCAACATTGCCGCAGGTAGCTCTTCCAAGCAAAAAGTAAATACAGATATATTTCTTTGCAGCATTAAAAGTTTATTCTCACCGAAAGATTTTTTTTTTTGAGAATTATGAAGTGATACATTTATATTTTCTAAACCTGCAAAATGGGGAAATAGTAATACTTACGGCAGGAAATTGGAAGCTGAAATGTAATTAAATGTGAAGTGCTTAGAACAGTTCCTGGCAACAATCCCTGCTTCTCCCCCCCCCCAACCCCCCACTATTGTCAACATTATTATGACTTAAGGTAACATATTTCTAGGGATGATTCCATTGAGAATCAATCTTTTCACAACAGTATTATTGCTTTTCAGAGCTTGGATAAACGCACTTTTGCTCCCTCTACATATTAAATAATAACAGCACAAAGATTGGTAGCCATTTTATGACCCATTTCCAACAGTTTTAGTCTTTTTTGTTTCATTTCAGAACATTCAGTGGTGTTTTTTCAACATACCCTCAAGAAATTACAATGTGAACACTATGGCATCTTATTTTAGTAAAAATGTCTTTAGTGAATTTTGGGGACACTGCTTCTGAAGCCTAAATTACATTAGACTGCATTCTGTGGAAATGTGACTTATGAGGCAATTCTTTTCTGATATTTGGTTGGTACTCTTTCTATGTAAAAAGTGAGCCGAATTCTAATTTGAAGGATTATAAAAGTGCCTCTCCCCAGCTGGCGTGTTGTCTTGTTCCCACTGAGTGAGCCTGTCCAGGTGAGCTTGCTCATGGACTTGAGTGAACATGTGTTACCACTACGTTTAGTGACGCGATCCAGCGGTACCCGCAGTGACACGTGTCATCCGTTACAAACTACGGCACCATCACCCTTTTGTCCAGTTTTCTAACCCTTATGTTGGATTATGGATCCCACTTACAACATGCTACTCGCTCTGAACTCCCTTTCTCTAATTCTTGAAGTTACTTTAACATTCTTTAATGTCAAATATTATTTGCTTACTTGATATGTTCAATTATTTACTTCACGTTCCACATATTGTAGAGCTACCCCCTGGGGACTGCAATGTCCAGGAGACAGTCCTTATTCTCCAAGGCCTTATGGTCTCACGGGGGAGACAGACGTTTAACAAACCTGTGAAGGGTATAAGAGGGGTACAAATAGGTGCAAAAGGGACAGAGGTGGAATAAGTTAATTATGCCTGGAAAAATGATCAGGCCTCTCCTCCAAGTACAAACCCTTTATCTACAGAAGCAGCGGGAGAGGCCTGTCCCCGGGGAAGGAGATGAGGGAGTTTGTCTTGGGTGTCCAGGTGGTAGTGAGATACCCAAGGGTGGGTCTCCATGTGCGTTTGCACAGCAAAGCAGAAGGAATCAAACTTCTGAACGGCTTCCAAGTTGTCCCCAGACAAGGGAGAAGATTACACACAATGTGCAATAATAATACAATAAGATACAAAGATGGGAACATAAGATCACTTGGTTCTCTTTGGATTTTCCTCAGGAAACTATTTAAATTATCCATCTTTCAGGCTATGGAAACACTGTGAGAGCTCTTACTCGCTTACCGCCCACAACCAAACATGATTCAGAAAATGATCCCCCTCTTCACACCAGGCAAGGGCAGGAGGCACACATGCAGAGGCTGCTCGTACTGGGTGAGAAGAGGGGAACGGAGTAGAAACAAGAATCGAACAGCCTGACTCTGAACAATTTTTAAAAAACCAATTATGCTAATATAGCCAGAGAAGATAAATCATTCCCAGCACGTGTTTCTGCAGCTCCAAACATTGCCTTGGATGTGTTTTCCATTGTCAGTGAAGGTTTTCAGGGTGAGGTTAGGTGGTGACTCGATTAACTGAACACTCATCCAGAAGCTTGCTTTGGAACTCTCTTCTTGAAGATTGCATATCTTGGAATGAACTGGGGTCACGTTAAGACTTGTTTATAAGTTATGTGGTATTCTTTGTTCCTTGCCAAGATGCAATGTGCTTTTAGCACGGCTCATAAATGAAGTTCATGAGAAACATAAGTGTTCTGTGTCACCTTCAATATTCCTCAGGAATGTGGCACTTACTCAGTTAGCATGGCCCTGTGAGTGTGTGCCAGTGAGTGTGGAGGCAGATCCTTCATCAGCTGCACATAGAGATGACTGCAGCCAGTGAGAGTCCCTGAGGCAGAGGACCGAGCTAAGGCACACCCAGATTCCAGTTGCTATTGAAACTGAGATAATAAATGTCATTGTTTCTAGCCACAAGGTTCCCAGGTAATTTGTTACAGAGCAATGGATAACTATTACACTCCCTTAGAGAAATGGCAAAGCTTGGAAATGGGAGCACAAAGTTTGGAAAGAGAATAGTGGATATATTTGTGTCTGAGTCACCAACCCAGATAGAATCTTTATGACTGAAGTTCTACATACACTGTTTATAATCATTGCAACAACCTGGCAAGGGTGGTGTTGTTTACATATTTTAGATAGACTGAGATTATGGAAACTCAGTTATTTGGCTCCGAACACTTAGCTAGAAGGTGACAGAGATGAGAGTGAAGCCCAAGTCTCTCTTTTTCAGAAGCCTTTGTTCTTTCCTCTGTGTTAATGAGTCATAAGAGGCAAGGGCCGGATTGGGGCTAGGGTGGCAATCAGAATCACTTGTAAGATCTTTTTAAAGCTAGTAACATCACTTTTTATTTATAGAAGCCCTAATACAGTTTGCACTGAACCATACCACACAGTGGGGTTGCCACAAGAGCACTGAACGTACACAAGTTCAGCTATACCACTTGCAGCTTGGGCCTGTGATTCTAAAATTAAAATCGCATATCTTCACCAGGTTCTGCTTGAGGCTCTGGTAGCCCTTAGCAGCCTCCTTGGTGATTAGTAAGATGATCATGTGACTCTGACATTCTGGTGTTAATTTGTTTTAATTAAGTTAAAAATAAAACAACAGCACCCAGAGCTCTACTAGTTGATGGGCTCATCACAATGTGATGTGTACCGGATCCTACCTGAGCAACAGCCCAACAATGGCAAAAGAGGTCTGGCTAAACAAAAACAAGCTGGGAATAGTGTGGGTGAGTGGCGAGTGCAGCTTTCATTGGTGGTGGCAACAAGGTTATGAAATAATAGGATCCGCTACAGCACCACGCCTTAAGATGTAGGTGGCCCTCAATACCTCCTGCCACAGCTTCTAGAGCTGAGCGGGGCAGCTGCAGATGGATTAGACTCTGAGAACCGGCTGTGGTTCTCTCTCATCAGCTCCCAGTCCAGGTCCAAGGTCTCTCATCTAGACTCAGCCCTTCAGCTCTTGTAATAGTTTCCCCAGTCCTGACCCAGAGTGAGCTTCTCATTGCTCATAGGTTCTCATGCAGACCACAGCCTTTCTTCCAGAGCAATGGCCTCTTCACACATACTGGTGACAGACATCACCATTAGCTGACAAAGTCTGCTCCTGGACAAGATGACTGTAGAAGCTGCTGCTTCCAACTCCTTCCTGCTACTTCACTGCATTTTGCATAGAGGATTTTTCTAGAACAGCACTCCCAATAAGGCAGCCACTAGCCATGTGAGGCTGTGTAGCATTTGAAATGTGGCTAGAGAGACTGAGAACTGAACTTGCATTTAGTTTAATTTTAATTCATTTAAATTTAAATAACCATATGTAGTTGGGGGCTAATGTGTTGGATAGCACAGTCCCAGAGGCTGCCATCCTTATGTCATTCTTTTGTTAATTTATTTTTGGCTCATATTAATAGAACATTTTCTATGTGCCAGGCACCATACATAGAATTGTGCATGCATCCATCCAATTTTCACAAAACCTGATGAAGCCTATTGTATGATTTACACCTTCCAGAGCAGAAGCCGCATTTTAGAGAGATGGAGTCGCCTGTCTTAGGTCACTCGGGCAGGAGACAGGATTCAAAATAAAGTCTATCTGGCTCCAGTCCTGTGTTTCCTGTACAGAACGAGGCTAAATCAGCAGGGATGGAGGGTGAAACAAAACGGACACAAGACAATGGAAATGTAACCCTTGTTATAATGGGTTTTTTCATTTTATTGCTTATTGTAAACATTTTGGCCTCAGAAAATACTTTATTTTTTGTATAACCGTAATTCAAAGCTATCACAACATATACTGCTTCCCTCAAGATGTTTCATCTATGAAAATAATAGGTGAACTCTAAAAGTCTATACTGATAATGTGCCCATTTACGCTACTGTGACACTAAATACAAATAATAAAAAGAGTCATCTATTGCAGGCCTGTGGGTTTGTGATCTATCTTACGGGAGGCCATTCAACCACTCAAAGAAGAGAGATGACGTGGAAGGAAATGGCTCCTCTGTGGGTAATGCTTGCGGCACACGGGAGGCACGTGATAAATGTTTATTGACAGAGATGATGAGCATTCAATTTCCATGGCTCTTTCCCTCTCCGTTTTTCCTAAGAAATGCGTGGTGCATTTGCAACCAACGTTCTGAGAGTCACAGAGACCCTGGCACTTTGAGCTGCACAGAGTCAGTGTGATTGGTCTGATCACACTTGCAGAGAGAGAGATGAATGAGAGGGTAGGCACTGTGAAAACTGCTCACATCTCGGTCACTGCAATAGGTGGAACTCTTGGATGCGTCTTGGTGCCTAGAACCGAGCAAGTCATTCAAAACACATTTAGGTTTGTGATCTCACTCGCAGTTACATCACATTTCAGTCAGATCAGTGTATTGGTAAGTAAAACATGCTACTGGTATCAGCTCCTCGATGTCCTGACCACAAGAATGAGACTATAATTTATACTGTAAGGCATTTTTCTATTTTATTCAGCAAAATTCTGAGCATTGTTTTGGGATTTCACAGAAATGTGATAATAATGTTGGGTTAAACATTTTGGATTTAATTGCAAAGTGATAAAAATTACAAAAATTTAATCATCCATTCCCAATATTTTCTCAGTGTAAATTTTAAATACATGAAAGATCCAACATAAAAACATAAATGTTAAGGCCACTTGCAGCAAAATATGGCACATTAGACTTATTTATTAACAACATTTACACCTAACGACAGGCACTTCATAACATTCGGATTTTGGCAAAAGGCAACAGCTTGATGCTAATATCCTAACTTTTCCATTAACTGTGTAACTTTTTCAAGGGAGCAGATTATAAAAATATCACAAAAGAGAAGTGTGTCTAAACTACTCTGGAATGGAACTCCACAGAACAGAATACGAACCTCATTTTTTCCTCTCTGTTTGTAAGTGTGTCTATCTCCATGGTCAAGTTCTGAGGTTTTACTTCTGATATAAAATGGAAATATTTGGCTTTTCATCTTTTAATCTGAAGTGAAGAATTTGTTGCTTATGGGATTTGATACTTTTTTTTTCTGCTACTGGAATAACCTTTGTCATAATACACTAATTAAAAGTCATGATTTTTAGGTGGCAGTAGCTAGCATTGAAGAGTTCTTGGCTTCAAGCAACTTTGAATCCCTTTGATCCCGTTTTAAGACTCAAATTAAAGAGATAAGGTTCAATGATTCCAGTAGTTTTCACTTTTGAAGACATACAAATTTACCCCACACATACATAAAACATGAGCAGAAACTTTTGAGGTCCACCGGACCCTTTGACCATTTGATTTCGCTAACCCGTCTAGAGCAACTCTCTAACAGAGAGTCAGCCAGGTTCTGTGTGAAGTCTTGGTAACAGGGCTTTTCACAAAAGCTCCAACTGCTCTTTCTCATACTGAAACCAAAATTGCTGCAACTTCCATCTAGTGCTTCCAGCAGTATAAGGCACAGAGCAGGTTCTCACACACTTGACCAGCATTTATTGACGAACGAAAGAATGAACAGTTTTAGTTCTGACTCAAGGCTACATGAAATATAGAATATAGTGTTTTCTTTAAGTAGTCCAGGCTATTTCCTGTCTCACATAGATCTTCTCTTTGGATCAATATTGCAATTTCATTAAGCAACATGATTTTCAGACATTTTTTTCCATCTCATTACTCTCTTCCAAATGTGCTTAGGTTGATCAGTAGATCTCTTCAAAGGCGGTTCCATGGAACCAGACATAATAGTCTAGACTCAGCTCCGAGGGTGGTTAAAGGCTCTGTATCTCAGCCTGGACATTCTACTTGACACTTAGTTTGGCCCAAAAGACTATTTTTTACAGCAGTTCTTCCTGTCTGTTTCTGAGTAGAGGCATTTTATTCATGGCAAGATCTGTGGCTGGCACATATTCCCTCCGGGAGAAGGGTTATTTCCTTGAATGTCCAGGGTACGGAGGGGGTGGCGAACGCTGTGCTGAAGACTGTGGGGCTGGCGAGTAGGGGGGAGGCAGTTCTGCACAGTGTTCCACCTCATGGTTGTAACTATAGGGGGGCGGCGCCACTGAAAGAGGAAAGGAAACAGGCATGAGGCAAGTAGCAAATATTTGAGAGTCCACAATATTTATGCCACTGGGCTGGGTGCTGTTGGAGGGGACATAGTTTTTGCCTGCAAAAATCTGAGTTTTATCAGGCTAAGGGCTAGTGCTATAAAGAGTGGTGCCATTGGCCAAAGTCTTCAGGGTTGGTGCTTAGGGTACGTTTCTTGGAAATAGAGTGCAGACAGAGAAGAGGCTAGGGGATAATTTAAGTTTGAGCAAAAGCACAGAAGCAGGAGAGCCTTTTTGTTCAAAGCAAAAAGTACATGGAGGAGAGAAATGGGAAAGAGGCTGAGGAATCTGATTGTGTTATCATCATGGTGGGCTTTGAAAATCACATGGGAGGGTATGATATGCAATTATCAGATGTTTTTTAATATGCTAGTGAATGTGTTTTGGGAAGACAGCTCTCTCTGCGGTATGAATTGAGGTGGACCAAAGAAGAGGTGAGATGATATAAGAGCTATGTGAGGGATTATAAGGGACTCATGGCAGTGGCAAGGAGGAAAATCATAAGAGCCCTTAGGAAGCTGAGTACTTAGGTGATGGCTGGGTAGATGGAGAAAGGTGTGGAGAGTAAGAGAAGGCATTGAAGTATTGGGCACCTACTGCTGGGCTCCCATAGCTTGGAAGGTCATGGAACCATTGCAAGAACAAGAAAAAAACAAAGAGGACAGGCAGGTTTGTGAGTAAGAGTGAAGAATTTAGTTTTCTAAATCTTAACTGAAAACTTTTCTTAAATGAATTTTTTACTGTAATATATGTCAGTGAGTTTTAAGGCACACTTAATACACTTCATTATGACTCTGTACAGATGTCTGCTTTGTGGTGATCTCAACCCCATCTCTAGGGTTGGGAGAGAGATGCCCCCTGAGTACACCATGTTTTTCAGGGCCCAGCCATTCTGCAACGTCTGAACAAACCTTCAGCGGGCCTCTGATGACTTGCCAGCGCTTGGGTCATCATTGAGAGCATGATTCTACCTGGAACTGACATGTCTAATTGCTTTACTGGGAACGTAGCCTAAATCACAAGACTAGTGTCATAATAATGCAAAAACCAAACCAAAACCTAAGGCCAGGCTCTGAACATTCGACTGGGAGGAAAGGACAAGCAGCGTTTCACCAACTTATTTCTAAGACGTCTTCTAAAATGCGCTCATACCAGGAGGGTTCCGACAGCGTTCTGATGGGTACGCACGTGCCAACACTGGGCTTCATCCTACCTGCAAGCACGACTGTTCCTTCTGGATCCCTTTACATGGGCTAACTTTACCCGCAGCTGAATGATCTGAATCATTTACAGGTCTGCCTATCTCCAGGGACACGGGGAAGCAGGATCGAGTCACTTAAGCAGAGGAAGATGGAGTCACAGAGCCGGGGGGGATGTCCTCCAAGGACTTCTCTGGTAAGCAAAGGCTCTGCAAGCCTCTCGTGGTCTGAGCAGGTGAGGGCTTAGGGCAGAGCACAGAGTTGTACAGAGAAAGCAGCAGTGATATCCCAGCTTCTCCGCAGCTGCCTGGGAGACCTGCGGAGGCTGGGCCCTTCCAAGCTTTGTTTTCTACAACAAAACAGAATAAGTCCTGTGGAGTCTAAACACACATCCCCTCTGCGTTACACCCACTCCTTTGCTTCATTATGTCTAGGAGGACTGAGGCAAAGAGATTTGTAATAAATTTCCTCCAAGCTAAGAAATGCAGCCTCCATGTGAAGGAGGAAGTTTCAGCTGGATATCCACTGAACTGCTTCTTGTCAGCATGTGGTTTTAAGTTGTTTTTATACTAAGCTTTCCCCCGCTTCCCACGTGAGGCGCGCACACCAAATGATTCTCCAGATTGGTGGCATCGCTCTCTGTCACAAAGCCGCGGAGTGTGGTTACGCCTCGGCAGCAAAGTGTTTATGTTTTGCCATCTGCATAAAAACTGCTGGAGGACATTTCAGTGCGATTCCCCATGGTTTATACAGATGCATGCTGAACATGAAAATCGAACACATGAAACAGTGTTCTTGCATTCATATTGCCCTTGAATTTCGATGAAGTGATACATTATGCTGAAGAGCGATATTTGGAAGACGATCCATCATGAAACAGGCATGGCACATCCTTTATGGTACCAGCTATGGGAAGAGATTTTGAAATAATACTTGTATAACTGTGGGCTGTGCTATCTTTCTTTCTTGCAGATAATAAGGTTTCACTAGGAAGTGACTTTGCATAGTATCAATTTTTAGAATTCCGGATTAACTCTAAGAGGATTTGTTCTTTCTTAAAAGGTTAAGCCATATCTAAAAGATGTATGAATGCAAATGGAGATATGATATCTTAGAAATTCTTTCATAATCAATATTCCAATTTTCTTATTTGAGCAGAGCAAGCATGCCACTTTTCCTTAATGTCATTATAGTTTTCTATAATATTAGAAAATTTAAGGATGCTATGAAGTTCATAGAAGAAATTTAATGCTTTCCACCCACTCAGGCCAGCATTTCTAATGCAAATGTAAAGGGAAGATGCAGGGTGTTATCACAACTATACAGAAAAATCATTCGTAATTTTGTTACCACAATCTAACAAATATTATCTTTATGTATTTTCTTCTAGTCATTTCTGTTTTTTATATCCTTATGGTCATATAAAATGGCATATGCTTTTTTACTTTGTATTATAGTGTTTTTCATTGTGCTATATATTCCTCATAAACATTATTGTTAATAGCTGCATATTATTCAACTGACCATTCACTTATTTTGAGATTAACAATTTTTTTATTATTATAAATAACAGAGTGATGTATATCTTTCTATATGTAGACCTATGATTTTGAATTGGCTCTTTAAAGTTCCGGGAATCAACTGGCCATCGCTTACTATTTTGTCTTCCTGTTTCTGTTTTTTACCTTATGAAAGCTTCCTGCCTTATGCCCAATTTGTAGTTCTCCAAATGTAGACAGCCGACTTCATGCTGTTGGTTTGTATCATCTGAATTGTCTGCTTTAATCATTTTTTTAAAACACATGTAACCTTCTTCTCTGCCCCTTGGACTTTTTTGCATCCAAAAATCATTTTCTCACCTTGTTGCTACCATTTTGTAAATCTGAGCACAGCCCTCTATCTTTCTAGAATACACATTCCAAAACATCTTGAACCTCACCTGGGTTTTCAATTTACCGGTGACATTTCAAAAATAATAATTTAAACTGAAGTCACCTCTTTTCTGTCTTCATATCTTTATTCAGCTTAGATTTATGGTCCCCCACAGAAATTATTTCTGTGCATCTATCGTCAACCTTCTTATCTCTCCCCACTGCCTGACAACACTCCAATTCTAATTAAATCCAGCACTTTGGCCACCCCGGCTCTGTATCTAGGAACTTAGCGTAGGAGCGTAATGCACAATCGGACTGATTGATTTCACTTTAAATGAATGACTGTAATCTTAAGTGTGGAGGCTGTTGGCAGTGCTTGGAAATGAAGCATTTCAGCACCCCTCCATTCTCTGAGATTATTGTCTCATGCGTTTTTCTTTCTCAACTACAAACACCTCCTTAACCTATTTTTAGCATAAGACTTGCTTATTTCATTAAGAAACTACGCACAATTAGAAGGCACCTTATCACCAACTCCTCCCAGATGGGTACCTGAAAGTCTTCCACGTTCAGTACATATCCGGATAAGGCTGCCCTCAGTTGTTAATTTGATGATGCAAATGGAGTGTTGGTTTCTTAATGGAATATTTCCAAAAGATTTTTAAATACTGCAAGACAGTTATTTTACAGAATAAAATAAACTTGGGTTCGTCAGATAGCTTTTCATGCTAAGATTCAGGCTGTCAACTTCTAGCCACAATATTACATAGATGAAGCTGTGTCACCCTCAGAGTAACACCCAAAGATGTAAGATGTCTGTTTGTCTTTCCTTGGTGATACTAGTTTTTATTTCCTGGTTGAGATGTCTGGTTTCTTCACTTTGATAATGAACAAGAGTCTGGAAATAGACATTTTAAGAGCATGCACGTATCCTCAGCAGTCTTTCCCCCCAATTTACCATCAACTGATTCTTGTCCTAAACCTTTCTTATGATGGTTTTAAAATAATGAATTTTCCAACTCTACAACTCCTTTTTACATATATCCTCTGGCATTTTTCTGTTAGCAAGAGCCTCTCCCTCCTTCATTTTTATATCTGCCTATCTATATCGATCTATATCTATCTATCCATCTATCATCTATCTATCTATCTATCTATCTATCTATCTATCTATCTATCATCTATCTATCTATCTATCTATCTATGTATCTATCTATCTATCTATCTATCTATCTATCTATCTATCTATTATCAATTAATCATCAGGGGACTTCAAATCTCAACTCTCTTGCTAGCATGAAAATGCCTTGTTTTCCCTTCTTTGGCATTTGATTTTTATACCTTTGCAAAACCTTTTGTTACGGTCTTTCTGTATTATTTTCTTTCAGGTGTGTATAATTCAAACCTACTTCTTAAGAAGGGGTTAATATGATCACCTTTCTTTGTTTACATTGAACTTCTGGCAAGTAGTGGAAATGAAAGACTGGACAAATAATTCTTATTTGCATACAGATGGTTTTAAAAATAACTGTAATTAAACAGGACACCATTCATTCTATTCAACATGACAGGAATAAAAAACTATTTTAGAAGGTCACTGTCTAACCAAGGGTCAGGGGTGGCAGATCACCTTTTGTTATTAATCTTCTCCCCAGTGCAGAGTAATTATGTTCACTGTAGGGATCCTCACTGAGCACTTTCACCAAGGGATAATATAAGCTTGGCTAAATTGTTTTCTACTCACTTATGTGGCCTCCAGACTATCTCTATTATCACAGGGTTAATTAATTAATGTGGATAAAAACATTCTATATTTCTACACATGAAAGATTTTGAAAAGCATTCATTCTACTCTGAGTTGTTTCCCTGTCCTTTAAGTAAAAGCTTAATTAGTGTCTTTGAGAAGGAAATGAGAAGTAATCAAGAGCATTATGTTTTGAAGACCTTGTCTTTTTGCAGTAAAAATGCTTCTACCATAAGCATTTTACAATGCTTATTACATTTACTCAGTTCCCAGAACCACGCATTTACTAAAAATGCAACACGCCTATGATCTCCCAGTATTAATTGCACCACTATCAACTTTTAAAAACGTGTTTCCATGCATGAAATAGAAACTTCAAACCTGAGAGAACACAAGACTTCACACGAAAATATTTTGTACCTTCTATTCTAATTTTAGAAATAATTTTTTAAAATGTTTCAAAAATTAATTTTAATGAAACTTTCCTCGGTCAAGCAAAAGTGTCTCTGGAATGTTGTCTACAGAGCACAGCTTTCCAGTTAGTGTCTCTGTCTCTCTCTCCTCTGTTCTTCTCTTGGGTTACAGGTTGAACAGGTAAAAATGGGGAGATGTGAAGAATAAAAAATAATTCTCCTATTTTTCCTTATGTCCTAGTCCTAACATCATCCCACTAATCCCACCAGTAGTCTCAGGAAGTTGGGGAGATTCAAAATCGTGAATGACTTTTGCAGTGAATAAATGCTACACACTGCAGATTGAAATTTAAGGTAAATTCCCTAGGTGTTGGTTTCTAAATCAGGTCTTGCCATGAGTTGTGAGCCTCATTCTTTCAGCCTTTTCTGCTGAGTGCCCAGTATGTGCCAGTCCCGACCTTATATGTTTGGGATTTAGTGGTGAACAGAGTAGACAAAGATCCTTGTCTCATGGAGCTAATATTCTGGAAGGAAGGAATGCATACTAAACAATCAATGTAACAATTAGTTAAACTACATGGCATATTAGAAGATCAAAAACACTGGGGAAAAATGTAGAGTAGAGGAAGGAGGACTGGGTGCTGTGGTGAAGGACACATCACAATCTTACATAAGGTGATCAGGACAGGCCTCATTCAGGAGATGACCTCTGATCAAAGACTTGAATTAAGTGAGGGAGTCGGTATTCTAGACAAAGCCCTAAGATGGGTGTGTGCCCTGTTTGTTCATGGAACAGCAAGGGCAAAAGCATGACTGGAGCCAGAGTGCCAAGAGGGAGAGGAGCAGGAAATGAGGTCAGAGAAATAAAAAGAGGAGCCAAATCATACATCGCTTTGAAGGTCCTGGTAAAGGATTTGTCTTTGACTTTAGATAAAATGAGGAACCACTGGCTTTGATTCATCCTCTGAGGGAAATGAAAAGCCACTGCAGAATATAGGCAGAGGAGTGATATGATTTGACCACTATTTTTAAAGGTTCCTTCTGGCTACTGTGTGGAGCATAGACCCTGGAGGACAAGGGTGGATTCTGGGAGAGCAGTTAGAATATCATCACAGTGACAGAAGTGAGAGCTGATGGTGGCTGGCACTAGGGAAGAGGTGTTTTCCTGATAGATTGCCTGTAGGTTTGAAAGAAAGAGAGACGTCAAGGATGAGTCCAGGATTTTTAGCTTGAGCAACTGGAATGCTAGAAATGCCATCTACTGAGATGGCAAACCCTGTTAAGTGGAGATGGATTTGGGGGGATGGTCAGAAGTACTGCTTTAGACCTGTTAAATCTGAGATATCTATTTAGGCATCCAAGTGGAGATGTCTAAAGGGCAGAGGGATCAAATAAATCTGAAATTGCAGAAAGAAGTTTGGGTTGGAAATATATAACTTTGAGAAGCAATAGCATGGAAATGGTATTTAATACCATGAGGCCAAATGGTATAACCAAAGAAGTACGTGTAGATGCAGGATGCAAGAAGACACAAGACTGAGCCTTGAGGAACTCCAACATGAAGATGCTGGAGAGGAGAAGGAACTGACAAAAGAGAAACAGGAGAAATGGCTATTTGCACACTCATCTGAAATTGGCTCCCTCAAGTTGAAGATGATAGGGAAAAGATTAAGAAAGGAAGGAAAGATCAGGGAATTGGCACAAAGGGCAGGTTGCATGTAGAAGGTACCCCGGTTCTTCTCTATAGAGACAGAGAGAGGACATGAGTATGGATAATAAATTATCTTCCTAAGGATGTGCCAAATTTAGAACTTGACTCCTTTTTATGTTAAATTGTATATATGCACATTGACTCAGAAAACATTATTGTAATCATCTAATGCAAAACACAGTTAACAGAGTTATATGTGTTCAAGATATTTATATGTGGGACTTCTAACAAATTCTTGATGAATGTCAAATTATTGTTACTTTTGCTTTTTGTTGAGAATTTTAATATTATGTTAAAACTTTTATTTGCATAAAGAGGACACGTAAAATACTTTTTCTCAAAACATACATGCCTGTTAGTTTAGAGGCCAGTTTATTTAGACCTGTAGCTTATACTTTCTCTATATTTGTCAGAACTTACTGACTCACTAGCATATAGACACAATGGGTATGAATTGTTTATTTCTCTTAACTCTGGCTGATTGTCAACTGTAATCAATGAGACAACCATTGAAAATACTTATATCTTCAAATATCAGGTGGATTTCATTATTTGGATCTAAGTAATCTCCAATGAAAGCTAGATTTTCAATCTACATTAACTTAGAAATACACTACTTGCTTGGAGATTATTCCAGTGAAATTGTTTAATGTTTCCTCTCTCCAAGGGGTAGAGCATAACTAACGATTATGACTCTTCCTTGAGAAGTGAGCAATTTTGCTTACCAGGGTAGGAGGTGATGGCATTGATGCGGGCGGTGCTGATCACGCCCACCCGCGTCCCGCGGTTGTTTTTCATGCACATGCAGATACATATGGCGATCCCAGCAATGACCCCCATGATAAATACAATTCCAAACACGATACCGGCAATCGCCGTGCCCCTAAAAAGGAAAAACCAAAGTACATTTATTGCAAAGTTCTAAGGATTCTTCAGACTTTAAAATAAAGCTCAATGACTATATGACAAGTGCTTTTTTACTAATGTTCTTAAGGAAAATGTTTTTTAAAAAGATAATTCCCTGGTTCAGTTAAATAGTCTTGTGTATTTTGATGAATAAATAAAGCTTACAAATCTTTAGGGAATCCTCTTCCAGAACAGTAAACCCATCCATCATTCAGATTCTGGTTTTAAAAACTCAGGTATTTATATAAAACATGATTGTCCAGATACGCTCTTTAAAATAAAAAAATTTAAAAAAAGCACATCCTGCTGTGTACGTAAACATCAAAGAATTTGTCTATTTTCTGTAGCATAGAGGTGTTTAATGAAGACAACTTGATAAATGTCAAAATATTAAATAAAACATTTATCTTCATTAAAACTCTTCATAAAGTAGAACTAGAATATTTTTCTTAAGAAAACCAAACATTTTTTAAAATTATACAGAGAACAGTATGACAGATTCCCATTAGATTCAGGAACAATGTAAACAAAACCTTTATTTTATCAGTGTTAATGCTTTTCTCCAGAAAGTTTTTTCACAAAATCATAGAAAGAAGAAAATACCAATTGAAAGAGTCAACATTATCATTCTGTGTAGAGTCTATTTGTCCATCATTTTGGAAAATAACGGGGGAAATTCTTTATCAAAGCGTAGATTTTCGACAGGCAGTATCATTTCTAGCAATGCTTCCCAAGGAAATAGAGCACATGTGGGCACAGATAATGTACTAAGGATGTTCATCATAGTGTTGTTGCTAAGAGAAAAATATCAGCAACGGCCTAATGTCAGTGAAAACGGGGCTGACAAAACAACAACATGACACATCAAAGAACGAATTCTATACAATGATTAAAAGAGGTGAAGTGGCCCATGGATTGAGTTGTTCATGATAGTTAATTTAATAATAATATTACAAATAAAAAGTCAAATACTAACAGAATAATACCAGCATCAACAGAATGACTGTAATGGGATAAATTGCATTTTTATCTATCTATTTCCAACTCTTGACATTTTTTAGCGTCTCTCTTCCTATTTCTCAAAAATATTTTTACATTCCTTTATTTTTTAAATTTTTATTTCTATATATTATCTTTTGGCTTGTTTTATAGTTTTGGGGACTGTAGATCCCTTAGATGAACCTAATCCTTCATTAAATCAACCATCAGTATATATATTACCATGACATCACTTACTACTGAGACAAGCAATGTACCATTGTCACCTTTCATTTCTCTTACACTTATTCTTATAAGGCATTTATTTCCATGAGTTTCCATATACCTACTATTATGCCCTTTTTCCCCTCCCCCCCAAAATTCTTAGAAATCTTTCAATTATCAGTTACTTTCAAACACAGCAACAATCACTTTATCAGTTCTGTTTGTCCCCATGGTGATTTCTTTTATAGCCTGCTAGTTCCGGTGGTGTCTTTTGAACCTGGAACTATTTCTAGACCTGCTTGATGGTCCATGGATGTCAAGTGTCTGGACCCCATTCTTGCTCTTTCTTGGTGAAATGTCCTGTTCACTGAAGCATATTCCTGAACGGCTTCTTAAAGAAAGGTTTAAAGGAGAGAAATGCATCAGAGTCCTTGCATGCCTGAAAGTGACTTAACGCTACTTCTCGCTTGTTGATAGTTTGACTGGGTACGGAATTCTAAGCTGAAACATATTTTTCAGAAATAGAAAGGCACTGTTTATTGTCTTCCAGAATTTGAGACTGCTATAGAGAAATCCCATAGATTCTAATTACTTTCCTTTATGTGATACTTTTATTTTTCTTTCTGAAGTTCTTATATTTTATTTTTACTCCTAGTATTCTGAAATTCCATAATGCGCTTGGATTTTCTTTTTTAAAAATATTTTGCCAGGCCCTTGAAGATTTTTTTCATGTCTGAGGCTCATCTTCTTCAGTCCTTGAAACCATTTCATAAACTGATCATTTATTTTCCACCATTTTCTCTGTTTCTCTCTCTGGAAGCCTATTCTGAAATAAGAATCTGAACCTCCTGGAAAAATTCTCTAATTTTTCTTATCCCTGTTTATTTTCTTGAACTACTTCTGGGGGAATTTCCTAACTTTCTCTTTCAAAGTTTTATCAAACTTTTAAATTTCAGCTATCATATTTTTAAATTCCAGGTGCTCTATCTTATCTTCTATTGCAATCCCCCCTTTAGAGTGTCCTGTCTTGTTTTCATGGATATAATTTCCCCCTAACTTCTGAAGTTACTAATAACATATTATTTGACATTTCATGTCATAAAATATCTGTGCTAATGGCTCACTTGCCAGATAAATAAGTTCTTGGTCTTAGTGCTATACGAACACCCATATAGTCCTTATCTAGGATAGGTTCATCATCTCTCATCCCTAACTCTTGTGGCCAGACATGTCTCATAAGTCATGAATTTTCAGGTTTGGAAAAGTGAATGCAGTTCGTATACCCTATATTGTATGATGCCCCCAGGGCTAGCATCCTGAGCACAACACATTTATGTTTTTGCAGTACAGGTAAGAATATTAACACTTGTGGATCACATAGGGACTAAAAAAAGGCTCCAGGTTTTTTGAGGTCCAGTCTTGCCACCAACTGAGTTATATAAAACCCTTCGTTTGCCAGAGTTTTTTGTGAATTTCAGAATTGCAGACAAGGGATTTTAAACCTGTATTTGGAGTTTTTAGAAGAGACTTTCTCATGACCTTTCCCACTCACTGAGAAAACAGACCAATGGAATACCATTAAGAGTTCTAGTAGACTCCATTAAAACATTCCTTCCTGCATATTAACTTTATTAGCAATTATGAAGCAGAATGAAAGATATTTGGATGACCTGCTATTAGTAATTAGGAATGGCAGAGTCTAGCAGTTTAATAAATAAGTTTTTTCAAGAAAAAAGATTTATCAAGGAAGATAATTTGAAATAAGAAAAGTAAAGGGATCCAGAAACCTCCTTTAATTGTGATTTTTATGTCTAAATAAGATTAAATTGGAGGGCTTAATTTATTTTCCAGAAATAATCGGTAGCCCAGTTATTCAGGCATAGAGTTTCCAAAGTATGTGTTATAGAAGCTCTTGATATCAAATCAGGATATATTTGTATTCATTAATTCTTTTTTAAATAGAGGAAAGTAGAAAATTAGTTACACTTTGTTTCCTTGGCAGCTCCAACCAAAGTGCCTGCTCTGGAGGTCAATAACGAGGTTGCAACTAATGCGTTAGGTTATGTTTTATATTAGATCATAATTTTGGTGTCCTTGATCCTCTGATACCCATTAACAATTGTAAATTAATTATTTAATACATGGCAAGTACAAAATTCATAGCATTATTTACTTTTATTAATTCAACAAAGCAGTAAACAAACTTATCTTTCTGCATGTAAATAATTTGGTTTAGTCAGCTATCGGAAACAGACGAGAAATATGGCATCACAAAAACCTTGAAAAATATTTAGGGGATATTTTTTTCTGAAAGAATGAGTTTCAGGGTGTGCACATTTTCTGGTCACCAGAAGAACTGAAGGGTGATTAGAGGGCTGGAACATTCAGCCTCACTTCTGCCCTCTGGGAAGGAGGCAGGAGCTGGAGATGGAGTTAATCACCACTGGCCGGGATGTAATCAATCATATCTACCCAAGGACCGCTCCATAGAAACCCTTTCATGATGAGGTTCAGAGGGTTTCTGGGTTGGTGAGCACACTGTGGTGCTGGGAGGGTGGAGCACCTGGAGAGGCTGACCTGCACAATAACACTTTTCCCCAAAAAATACCCTTTGAGAATTGGTTTATACTTATTTTCAATGAACAAATTTTTTGAACAAGTGTCTAATTCTTATATTAAAGTTTAGCAGTTTAATAAATAAGTTGTTTCATAAAGTGAGTTCAGTGAAGTTCAAATGCATATCATAAGACTAACATTAATAACTGCAATTAAATGTTGTTTTCTAAGTGTGTGTATATATATACACACACACTATATATACATATATATATATCTCAACATATTTGTATTTTATTTAGGAAAACAAAAATCTGAGTCAAGATTTCCCAAATTATATTACATGATATGTTTTGTGTACTGTATGGATTCCAAATATATCCTGCCAGTATAGTCTTAGCAAAACGTACAGTCATTCATAGTTAGTAAAGTTTCTAGAAAAATTTTGTGCAGTATACATGAATGTGATTCATTTCATAGCAATATTTGGAAGAGCAGTTTTAACCCACACATATGTCAGTTTACTTTTCCAGGTATGCCCTAGAGGCTTTTGATTTATTTCTGTCATTATGCCTGCAATTCTAAATGGCTGCCACTAGATAGCAACATTCATGAACTATATATATATATATTGCATAGTTTTCATGTGCTAGGCACTAATCTGGGTAATGGGATACCAAGCTGATTGATACATGGAACCATCAAGGATTTGGGAACCATGTATGGAACAGTAAGCAAAGAGAGATGTTGAAGGTCAGCTATTTCTAAACATAGAAGGCTAAGACAAAAAAAAATTAAAGAATTTGATCATACTCAGCAGAAGAGAACTGCTTCTTTTTAAAAATCAACAATATGAATGTAATAAAAAGAGTATTAATGATTTCTTAATACTTAGTTGCATATACAGTTTTTTGACCGGGATGATGCTTCTGTGAAATAGAATCCAACTTATTTTGCAGGCAAGAAAAACAAATCTGTGAGAGGTTAAAATAAAGATCTTCTAGCTAGTTTCCTGGTAAAGAATAGATCTCCTCGGTCCTAATTCCCACCCCAGATCTGCTTATACTGCAGTGGGCTGCGTTGCTCACATTCTCTCATCTACTCGGCAAACATTATGGAGCCTCTTCACTCTGCCAGATTAATGGACAAAGTCTTATTGGGAAGCTCTGAAACCTGATGACTAGATTGAATTGGGGAGCACGTGAGAGGCAAAGGTGT